AATTGTGAGAAAAAGTTCAGAATTGTGAAATAAAAAGTCACAATTTAGAGAAATAAAGTAAGACTTGCGAGATGTAATATGCAATGGCAAGACAAAAAGTCAGGCTTGTGAGATAAACAACTTGCAATTGTAAGAAGTAAAGTAAAAATTGCAAGATATAACCTTAAAATTGCAAGAAAAAATTGCAAGAGTGTTTTTAAGATTTCCACTCTGGAGGGTGGTTTCACTTTTTTGCGTTTTTAAGCCCCCAAAACGCTGTCGCTGTGTAAACGAAAGGCACATTTGATTTTTACGTTTTGACCAACGAGCGTCCTCCTGTAAACAGGGCCTAAGACTTGGTGGCATTAATGTATGAAAATAATGATCATTTTTGCCAGTGATATAGAAATTAGGAGAACATGGGGGCAAGTTGCACAAGCACATGTAGCACAATTTACGTTTTTTGAAAGTGTACGTTTTTGAAACCGATACCGTTATCATCTTCATGTCAACTACAAAAACGTGAGTTTGTGAAAACGGTGACGGCATGCACATGCGTAGTGTATCTTTACAAAGGTGACATCGCCAACTACTGGCCTGGCAGCAGAATGCAGTCATTTCCATGGAGGATCAGTGAGAACGGGGATCGGTTTGACAACGCTGTGCGTAAAAACGCGAAGGAAGTTTTTTAGTGCGTCTTTGTCATGTAAACCGTCGATTGTCAAAATGCAGAAATTGGCTTATCATCAGAGAAACTTGTTGTTGGCTTATCAACAAAAGGAAGATCTGAATACATAGTTAACATCATGTATTTATTGAACAAACGGCAGGGACATCAATTTATAATGATCGCAAAATACAATAATTATGGTCATTTAAAAATACATCCCTTAAGAATAGCATATAACAGGCCTGTTTCAAATGAACGTTTGAACACAATCACTTCAGCAAGAAACGTTTGAGAATAAGAAGATTCTTGCAACTCTTTACAATGAAGCAAAACATGAACTTCTGTATTCTATATTCGTCTCCCTTCCTTCAACTGCAGAAACACAGCAAAAGGATAAAGTGAATGAATGATTATTTAACTGAAATTTTGACGTGTCTATATCTCGACACACGCACAGCTTAATTTGTGCTCTCCGCCAAACCACTTTCCAAATACTTTCTTTGCCCCTAGGTGGACATATTATGCAGCTTCATTCCCAAATAGACAGACAGACTTGGATGAAGATGATCGGAACTGACAACTTTGCTTTTTTTTTCCTTTTCGCAGGAAAAAGGGGGAGGGAGATGAAGGAGACGGGAAAAACCCACACTGACTCAACCCTCTGAGGTAGAGTAACATTAGCAGGGATGCTCTTTGATTTACAAAGTAAGAGAGAACATAGAGGATCAGGGGTATTATTCTATCATGCAATGTGCAATTTGTACATTATGGAACAAACATTAATAGTGATCTAAGGCACCCAGCAAACAATGTCAAACTCGTTCTTATAAACGTGACAAGCACCAAAAGATGCCTTATGGATATTATAGTATGCACGTAACTATGTGAGACTAAACGTTAATACAATAAACATTTATACATGTTCTCCTGACATATTGCTTTGATTATATTCCCTATGTGCTAAAAGTAGCAACAACAAGCACACTTGACATTTCTAGGTAAATTAGATTAAGAAATGACAGGCCCACGTGATATGCACATTTTATTCCACTTTGTGTTGCCAAATCTAAATCTTAATCACATCCTGAACCGGACATTGGAGTTTGGATTGGAAAACCAAGTTGATGGTTCAAGGTCATTAAATGTGTACAAGCACATCCAGTGATGTTTCCACCTACACAATTAAATATCTAAAAACAGTTAGTGATGTTATATGGATTTTAAAAGTGCAGTTTAATGGGAGTCCATTTGTGCCCTCTAATATACGGTTTTGCGTATCTAAATATACATAAAACCTGATGCTACAAATATAAATTTCAGTCAATTTTTCAACATTTTTAGACCTGATGTAATTATACAAGGTTACAAATGGTGAACTAACAAAAATATATTAAAAATATACTATTGCTGTTTAATTACAGTCAACACAAAACAATTTGCAACCCATTACTTTCTTAATATGACGTATTTCCGTATTTTAAGTTAAAAGCATATTATATTATGTTTGATTATACAAGTGGTCATTCGATAGCAGAGCGCTCTAGAATGCCTGAGGCTAAAGGTCAAGGTCAAATTATGTTCATTATTATTGACCTAACCTTTATTATGCTTATTTTAATAACAAAAGTAAATGCCTAAATGCCTGTTCGGCTGTTGGGAACACGGCTTGGTTTCTTGGTTTTTAAAATAGTTTCAGAAGCAGACCAAGTTATTACATTTTAATCAAACATTACAACAACATTTACTCTTCTTCTTTGGAACAACGTGATGAATTGTGCACAATAGGAACAGGAATGTGTTTTAAGAAAAAGTCCATTCGGATTACAGGTAAAGAGATAATCTGTGCACTCCTGGCTACAACCCTGAACTAATAGATTTCATCTAAAGTGCAACTGCAAGTACAATATATTCCTATGTAATTATATAATCCAGTATAATAATAAAAAAATAGATGTTACAATAGCTACAATAATGCAAACAAATAATTATTCAGACATAAAAACCTGGTGATACGTTAAAATAATAGCGGATGTAAAAACGGAAAACACATGGATAGATGACCAGTACAATTCACTCTCAATTTGAGTGTGTAAGAAAATAAAAGTGAATAGACCTTAGTCAGGTTAGACGCCATATTGAATTTTACGCAGAAAACAAGGCTGTGAGGGATAGAATTACAGTCTTTACAATGGCATGCACTGTATAAAGGTCAGGTAATCTCAACTAACAACTGTTTTGTGAGTTTTTGTCAACTAAAAGTTGTTCTTGTTGATGTTTAGCTTTTTTCCGAAAGGCATTTCATCAGCGAACCATTGAACTCACTATACGCCTTTCCCTCACAGCCTTGTTTTTATAGAGTTCTGCAGGGTTTACTTATTTTTGCACGCTAAAACCCAGAAACGGATTCGCATTTTTGCACATCATCCTGAATCCAATGGGTTTTTAGGGTTCAAATTTGCATTTTTCACATGCGTAAAGGATTGTGTATCACCTGATCAACCCACGGATTTAATCCTATACGATAGAACTCCTAATTCTGAGCAACTTTGCCTCTGGGACCACCGCTGTCAATCGAACCATTCGTTAAATATCAGAGATTATTTCAAAAACCTAAATTCACAAACTAGTCCTAGGTCTTTGGCTCAACCTTGATAGGTTTTAAAACATACTTCCTTATTAAATTGCCCGCACTGGCTGTAAATGGTCTTCTCGATCTATGATCTTGGTGGTTACATGCTTGCTAAATTAAACATAATACTTTTTTACGCAGTGCTTAAAGGCCTTAAAGCTTGACCCCCTTTATTGCTGCGTGCAGCTTTATTATAAATGGGTTTTTGCATGTAATGAGGTTTGTGGTGAACACAAGCTCAATATATTTTCGCCCTTTATTCAATGAAATAAAATACACAAGTGGTCATGCCTTGTGATTTTATAAAGCTTTTATAAAGGAGTTATATTAAAACATATCCTGGCTCTTCCAAGCTTTATAATGGGAATGAATAGAGCCTGAGATTTTGAAACTCAAAAAAGCGCATCTCTCCATCATAAAAGTAATCCATTTGGCTCCAGGGGGTTAATACAGGCCTTCTGAAGTGAAGCCATGCAAAAGAATAAATAATTTTAGAAACTGTAATCACGCAAGTCTAGTTCCGGGGGATGAGTGACCTCTGACCCGAAGCATGACGTAGGATGTAGGAGTAGCGTAAGTTTAGGTGAGAGTAGGGTCCTCTTGCGGTTGAAACAGACAGAGCTGAGAAACAAAGTCAAGCTCCTCCAACATTTCTCTGTAAATGTTCTCATCTTAGACTTCTAATTCGTGACCAATGCTTGTTTTGTTCTATCCTCAATACGTCATATGAGTCGGGTCAGAGGTCACTCAACCGCCAGAACTAGACTCGCGTATGGCCGTTACAGAAAGCAAGTGATTATAGTTTATAAATTGATTTATTCTTTTACATGGCTTCGCTTCAGAAGGCCTGTATTAACCCCTGGAGCCGTATGGATTACTTTTATGATGGATTCTGGGCTTCTTTGGGCTTCAAAAACTCTATTCACTCCCATTATAAAGCTTGGAAGAGCCAGGAGATTTTTTTGTCTGAAAGAAAAAAAACTATTATACACCTAGGATGGCTTGGGGGTGAGTAAATTATAGGATCATTCAATTTTTGGTTGAACTATTCCTTTAATTTGTGAAGATTTTTTCGATTAACCAAACGTTTAAAGGACAAGTTTGGTATTTTACAATTAAAGCTCTGTTTTAAGATCATTTCTGACGAAATAGAATGGTTAAGATTGTTTTTTAGACAAATGCTGCTGTCCCGAGAATTTTCAGATTCTGTGGTAGCACCCCCCCACCTCTACAATGGTAGCATAGGTGCACAGGAACAATCCTTCATAAAACGCATTAAACTTTAGTTTACAAAGATGAGAAACTCACCGAGTGGTCTGGGGTGTTCACTGATATGCTCACACAAAAATCGCTGCAAAAGATGCTTTGCTTTCCAACAGGTGTTTAACCATTCGTTGTAAAACTGTAGACCTATTTTCCGAACGCCTCACAACCGTACATTCTTCAGTTGAGAGCTTGAATAATGGACACTCCAGCCCAGTTGGTGGCGATAATGCACCTTTGCCAATTGCAAGCAAACCACTTGTATAGTGTTGCCTACGATACCGCGACTGCATAAGACTACAGAAAGAATACAAACAACCCCGTTTCCGATTCCGGCGGTGGAGTAATACCGTCAACATACAATACAAGTCAATGGAGTAGTACAAAAACTACGATAAAACCTGTTGGAAAGCATCTTTTGCAGCGATTTTTGTGTGAGCATATCAGTGAACACCCCAGACCGCTCGGTGAGTTTCACATCTTTGTAAACTAAAGTTTAAAGGATCCGAAAAATCTCAGGACAGCAGAATCTGTTTAAAAAACAATATTAACCATTCTATTTCATCAGAAACAATCTTAAAACAGGGCTTTAATTGTAAAATACCAAACTTGTCCTTTAAGAATCATACACTTGTGTTGGTCACCGAGCTTATTTTCTGAAATAATCCAAAAGCCAATGGAAAAATCCTACTGGGTTTTTGTTGAGGGAACCAGTGTGATGGTAACTTCTGGGTTGGCCAACAAAAATACATCGTCACTGCAGAATTCTATTCCTGTAAGAAAGTAAATATTGGGCCACCCTGACAAAGGTCTGCACTCATTATTAAGTTCTCATTTAAGATGATTGTTTGTTTTAAAAATATGTTTTATTTTGTTTTAATAACTATTTCATAACTCCTGTAAAGATAATAAAGAATTCACTATTTGTTGCATCACAAAATGTATCTATTGGAATGAAAACCAGAATAATATCCTGACACTTTGGGACTCGTTGGTTGTTAAAAGACCAGCATTTGTTTCCATTTACCATTGAGCTCACTGAAGAGCAAGCAGTTTGCATCTTGCCTTTTCTCGAAAACCTCAAAGTACTTAAAAAAAATACAGGCATTTACCCTGTTCTTATTGCACGCTTCTATGTCTCCGGTCCTCAAGCAGCACCTGCCGACAGGCCGCCCTCCCCCGTCTATCACTACATTACATTTATTCGACTGACAGAGGATCCGAGCAGCTTAGAAGCAGTGGTTTTTCAACCCCAAGTATAACAGTGGTTGGTTTCGTAAGGCGAAAGAGATTCACATGCACAACATCCTCCAGCCCTCTAGATGGAGCTGCGGCGTTTGGAGAGTCTTTGGTAATGTGCTGGGCTGAGCAGGCCCGTGTACACTGAACTGGTGCCGGAGTGCTCCTGCAAGGCACTGCACACACAGCCGTTGGAGTGGAGGGGGTCGGAGATCTCGCTATGCTCCATGTATGTGTCCGAAGTGGACAGATCGTGAGAGATAATCATGGGAATTGAGTAGCGCATCTTCTCCTGGCTCTTGTACCAGAGACAAGAGCACATGGACTGGAAATGCAGCACTTCGGCGTAGACGTTACACAGCCCTTTCCCGGACCCGTGGGCCGCGCCAGACGAGGACGGTGGATCAGACATGGTCCCGCCACCGCCGGTCTTTCTGTTGCGGGACAGCAACGTACGCTGTTCGGCGTCGCGCCGTTCGTCCTCGGCATTCATAGTCATGAAACGCAGAACGACCAGGTTCAGGAAGGCGCCGATGACCGTGAGGCCCGTGAGGATGTACATGAAGCTAAACGCTACGTACTGGGGGTTGGTTTGTAACGCATTATCCTTCTGCAGGGCCACGTAGTCCCCAAAACCAATGGTCGTGAGTGTTATGAAGCAGTAATAGTACGCGTGGAAGAAGCTCCAGTCCTCGTAGCGGGAGAAGGCCGCCGCTCCCACGCACAGCGTGCTCATGCAGGATATTAAGCCAATGCACACCATGTTGGCCATGGAGACCTCGGTGTGCCGAAGGCCGAGACACTTTTTGAGACGGTGCAGCAGGTACTTGACGAAGGTGTTGATGCGTTCGCCCAGACTTTGGAACATCACCAGGGTAAGGGGGATCCCCAGGAGAGCGTAGAACATGCAGAACACCTTCCCACCATCCGTGCTGGGAGCCGCATGACCGTATCCTAGAAAAAAAAGAGTAAACGTAAACATTTTCATAACTTCAGCAAAGCTTTTAAAGAGGAACTATCGTGCTTTACATTTTCAACTTTAATGTGGAGGGCGTTAATGAGTTTCAGAACTCCATTGTAGTCTCGAGTTTTCTTCCAGTAACAAACACTTCACAATATTCTTCATTTGGATAATTCCCGCCCAGGGCATATGCAAAAATATTGGACGAGGGCTGGTTGAGTTGTGTTAGAAGTGTGTTGAAAATTGGGGTTATGGTAGGGGGCGGGTTTAAAGTGGTTGGCCAATCACAACACACTGTCCAGCCGACCAATCAGAGCATATTGCACTTTTCAGAAGGAGTGGCTTCATAGAGGAACTAAACAGATAGTTACAGATGCAACAATGGCAAATATGAAAAAAAGAAATGGTAAACATATTCTATTACACTGTAAAAAAATAATCCTGTAAAAAAACAGTAAATTACTGGCAGCTGTAGTTGCAAGCATCATACCGTAAAAATATGGTGTGTTACTGTTTTCTAGCTGACAACACGGTATTTAGCTGTTAATTTCAAAAACAGTAACACACTGTATTTTTACGGTATGATGCTAAGGTTGTAAATAACATTAAATAATGCTCCTTATTGTAAAGTGTTACCAAAAAAAAAAAAAAAACATATCCTAAATGTTCAGTGTGATAGATTTGCATTTTACATTTACATTTATTCATTTAGCTGAAACTTTTATCCAAAGCGACTTGCTATGTCAGAAGTCGCACGCCTCTGGAGCAACTAGGGGTTAAGTGTCTTGCTCAGGGACACATAGGTGTCTCACAGTGGATTCGTACCCGTGTCTCTCACACCAAAGGCATGTGTCTTATCCACTGCGCCATCACCACCCCATATCCACAACTATATCCTAAAATTGAGGGGTAAAATAACTAAAAGGCCATTTAGAATATAAATAATGATTAAAACAAGCCTAACTAAACTCTTGTTAATCTTAATGCTAATGCTAGCAGCATAAATAATACTAAAAGTGTAAATAAATCCAATATTGAACACAACATTTAGATAGGAGTTTATAACAAAGTTAATTGTTTGTATCTCCATGTGTGTCATGTTGTGTGTTTATGCTAAAAATAAAGGAATCTATCTATCTTGAATGGGCTATCCTTATTTTGCAATGTTGAAGTGAGCTATTTCCGATTACTTGCGAGACTTATGATTCATTAGCCACTATAGGTAAATAACTAGAACAATAACAAAGTGAAATAAACAGAAAAAAAATATGTGCGCTACCAACCAGTATGTTTATGATAATAAAAGTATTATGATAAATACCAGTTTGCTAACTCAGCGGCTTCTTCCGAGTTGGCAGAGAGCATGCTATTGGCCCGGTTTAGTTCCAAGGAACTAGACATGTTCGGAGTCGAGGCAAATGTGAGCCTGCCTCATCCCTAATCCCCACATAAGATGAGAATGGCCAGCACCACAGCCAAATTTAAGCAAGACTGGTCTGTGGAGAGATTGGAATTCACCCCGAGCAGTTTGGATGAGCAATTCCTTGTGGGTCATCGGCGTCTCACTCCTCTGAGCCTTCCCTTTATTAAACAATAAAGCATTTCTCTCTAGCAACCAGTTACGCTACAGTTAGGGGCTGGCTGAGTACAGCTATGTGAGGATGTTGAGAATTTCGGGTTGAGAATCTCGACTAAGAGAAGTAAGAAGCTGAACCTAATTTTGGTTTCCCCCCCATTTAAAGGGGTGTTGGGGCACAAGAGGCTGTTAAAACAACAGGGGTAAAAGTCCATCGCCTATTCTCTAAAAAGAAAAAGAGGAGAGCGTGACATATCTTCCATACGAGAAGAGCCATGCAGGAGATTCATTTGGGGATTTTTCATGGACTGTGTGTTCACAAGGGGGGAACTGCATTAGTCTGGGATTACAGGAGAATTTGCCTGATTAACACATGTTGGGAAGCAGCAGTTGAGGTCGAGTTACTCCCTCCTGTATGAATATTCGCCCCTCCAGACATGGATGACGAAATTCAATCAGTCTGTGCAGGGGTTAAGCCTCATGTGAAATACATCATAAAAATTTCCTGGAGAAGTGGAAACATGAGCACTCTCCAGCATTAGGAGATTAAGAGATAATATTGTCATGACTGTTCACTTATCGAATAAATCAGACTAGTGCAGTAGTATTCGCTCAGATGTTATTTTTTCCCTGAGCCTGGGAAGCGCAGTTGCCTTATGTATGTGAAATAAGTGACTACATATTGACCCACTTTTTCAGTACCCCACTGTCTGAGACCTTGTACACATTGGTGATGCATCCTCACATCTCCGTGGGAGAAAGCCAGACTGTTGTAGGGGAGGTAGAGGGATTGTTATAATCACGTCCTTATTCATCTCTCCAGGGGCTTGCGCTGTGGAGATGATATGGATACGCTTACTTTGTGTGGGGTATTGCAGGAGTAGAGATTGGCTCTAGCACTGTTGCATCCCACTCTTCCTGTTGCCCTTCATAGTAAAGGATGTTGGACCTTGTTATTTTTTGCCTGTTCCAGTACTTGCCATATAAATTCGGTACTGATCCACCACATAAATAGCGGACTAGGATGAATGTAATTGGCATTCATGCGATCATGTTCCACTCTGTTTCAGTCTCCTTCATATTTCATACGGGCAGACGGAGGAAAGATTATCAATTACGCTGCTTGAGTATGTTGTGATAAATGTGGATGATGGGAGAATAATGCAACTTGCGTCCCACATCATCATTGGTCACTCTTCCCTCTCTGGCACTAGGAGTGCAGAGGTGTTAGCGATGTCCTTCCTCTGTGATCACATCAATAGGCTAAACAGCACTGGAAGATTGGGCAATACTAAGGGTGCTCCGATTGATCGGTCGCAGATCATAATCGGCCGATAATTGCTTTGGGATGTGTGATCGGCGGTCTCTACAAAAGCTGATCAAGTGACGCAAAACTCAAGAGATAATTTTTTATGCCCTGGTAGAAATGGCTTCACCAGTCTGGCAATTCTACAAGGTGTGTGAAAAAGACAATTCATTAGCAATCAATCTGCAATGTGTGTACCACGCCGCTAGCCTGGCATGCCAGACCTGAATCAAGATGTTCGGTCTGGGAACTCATCATTGACAGGGCTCAATCCGAGGGCCGGGATAAATGGTTGTCTTTCAAATTCTCTCTGCATGCAATTGGATAGCGCTACGACCAATCAGAGCAACAAAGAAGGTAACGGCTGAGTCCCATGCGTTTTCCCACCAGCGGAGCAAGTTGATTTTTACCGTATACAGTCGACGACAAAACTCCGAACACATCTTTTTTTTTAATGACTCAAGTGGCGTTCTTTGTTCTGGTTTCAAAGAAAAGCTTAAAGGGGGGAGTTGACTGCTTTTTTTCTTTGCATGACTGTGTTTATGAGGTGCAATATAACATGTATTCGTGGTTTTTCTTTTTTTAAAAGTCTTATTTTTCATAAACTTCATAAACTGAGTCTATGAAACCACTCCTTTAGAAACAGGCAGTGGGCTCAGATTGGTTAGCTTGGCCCGGTGTGTTGTGATTGGCTAAACTGTCGCTCACGTTGTCCGGAAGGTTAACGCCCATTACCTTTACGGGCGAAACGTGCATGTCATGAGCTCCGGTCCAGATGTAAATAAGGTAAATAATAATGTCGAACTGCAATATCAGTTTGAGGCATAATCAGACCGAGAAAGCCGCAATGAAGAGAGTCAAACAGAACCTCACCACACACGGCTCTTACTAAACGTTTCTGAATGATAATTTGCTAATTTTTTTTACTTTGTTTTACACAATAGCATTTGACTGGCAACAATAGCAACTGACTGGCTATATGTTATACTCAAACTGCGTGGCATTAGATTACGTTCTTGATCAAATCGTAAATAACGTCATAAAGCACATGAAAAATACGTTTAAAACATTAGTACTTATACAAAATTCAGGTCAATAATGTTTGTACGCGTTTGTTGTAGACACAAAATAGCATAACTCGAAGCCTAGTGGCTATAAAGCCAGCGCTGGCATTTGAAAAAAATAAAACACAAGGCTACGTTTGGAATTATACATGCAAATACATTTAAAATTATTTAAGTAAAATAAATAAAATTATTTAAGTATAAAATTATTTTAGCATATATTTGTTTTCCTAATCAGTTGTTGGGAAAGTTACATTGAACTATGGCGTGCTATAGTAGTAGTTGCAATTGTAATGTGTGATGTACTGCATAATTTATACTGCTTCTGTCTATACTATTCATGCCCCAACAACTGCTTTTGTTGAAGTAAAATGTACTGAATTATTGTGAAATAAATAAATAAATAAAAATAAATAAATAAGTCTTAGCCTACTTACAGGTTGTGGCCCAACAACTGCTGCCTCTGGTTTTAAAGTCGGAACTGCTTCATGTTTTAGTAACAGTTTCTTGTTGAATCCGGCATTGAATTCGTGGAGATTCTGGAAGCTGTCTTCCGTAAAATGCGCAGCACAGAGAGCTAGATTACGACCGTCATTTTCAAGAACATAATCAAACTTAAATTGTATCCATTGTTGACAAAGTACAGCGTCCGTGGGAAGCTCGAACACAGAAGACCTGACAGCTGGGTGAACATAACACACTCGACGTGCCGCAGAAATATGCGCATGCCCTTTTTTGCATATTCCGGAGGGAGGGGTTGATGCAAATGTGTGGGTTAGTGACGTCTAAAACCCAGCTGTAGTCCCAATCGAGTCGTTTTTGTAGGCAATTATACTTCCTGATTTTTAAAAGACGATATCTCTGCTTATACTAAACTTTCAGCGCTGCAACTTTGCAGATACTGTTCATGCACCAACAGCAACATTACACACTATTTAAAATGAAAAAAGTGAAATCGCAGTCAACCCCCCCCTGTAAGTTCAAATCATTCAGAGTAGCGGTCAAAGCCGAATCGAATGACAGCTGTTCGCCAGCAGCAGCCATTCT